ACACACACACATACACACACACACGTACATAAACTGCATACAGATGCTCACATACACACACAAACACACACAAACAAACACACACACACATTTCGACACACACCTACACACACACACAAACACACACACACACACACACACACACACACACACACACACACGCACACACATATTTCAACACCAGCTGGCGACTTGTAGGCGAAGTCGACTCATTAATTTGACATTCCTGATAGTGGTATGTAGCAGTTGTATACAGGCTCCTGAAGCATGCCAGTTTGTCACAGACCCAGTTTGTCGTAGGCCCAGTTTGTCACAGGCCTCGACTGTGCCATGCTTAATGGAAATTATCACTCACACTTTCAAAAAGAGTAAATTAATGATTCTTTGATTGTAGGAATTGAATTTTATTTTTCAATTGTTTTTAACGAAAGAACATTTAATGTTGAAATTACAAAGTAATTTAAATTTTGCTTTTATTTGCATACAAAAAGAAAGAAATATTGAACAACACAAGCTGAATTGACATTTTCGAGGGATCACTACCTCTACACTGCCAATTTGAAGGTGGAGAATAAAAAACTTAAGTTACAACTATACAGTGTCAAAGAGCTGTAATTATGACTGTCATCAATACTCAAATACTTAAATGAAATTGTGACAAACTGGTCCTGTGACAAACTGGGCAGCCCCCATGATCCATTCGACTTCGAGTCTGTTTTGAATTCTTTCCATCATGAACAGTAATTTCTCATCACCATGGCATGTGTTGGACGATGTTTCGTCTCGTCATCAGTACATATACTTTAGGATAATAAAACCATGCTTTCAGCATTCCTTTCCTAACAGTTTGATGAAGTTTTGTTCTAGATCTAGATCTAGATCTATATCTTGTCTACGCTTTTGTTGGCATGAGGGCCAATAAGTTAAAATAACAGCAGTGCAAAATAATAAACGTAAAAATGGAAAAGCAATACAAATCGCTCGCTATACGCACAGATCTAGCAAACGTTGCTATTATAGGTCTCTGCTATACCTTGCTTTATCGTGGCTCAGTCAGAATGAGCTGTGCTGTGCCAGGGCGTAATTTATTAGCCTATAATATATTATTCTGCGCCTTTTTCTGAGTAGGTCTATTTTAGGCCCTAACATGTAGTTACGGGAATTCCCAGGAATGAATAAACGAAACTTGGCGGCAGCCAATCAGAAATGAGGCCAAACTTACTACACACTCGATGCAAGCGGACTATGTCGGCCGATTTCTACTAAACCTGGAGAAATTGCCATGCTTGTGTGATTTTCATCCGTTTTCCAAAAACTAAGAGGATTGGCTGAACAATCTTCGGTCAGTCAGATAGGTATCCCACATATTATTATCTTTTTAATTTCTTTTTGTTGTAAAATTTCAAACTCTGTGAGTGTGAGTAGGCTAGGCTAATGCATTGTACATTCCTCCCATTCAGAGATGAAAGACCGAAAACTGGGTCAGAAACTGGACATGCTGGCTCGCTTGCTTGCCGCCCACTTGCTAAAGGCTCGCGATGGCCAGAGGTGGCTTGAGATGGGCTGCCTAAAAATAAATTAACAGAATATGTAACAGGAGTCCATTCATTGTCAGTTTTTTTGGTGTCTGTTTGTTAGGCCTAGTTGGGTTTTTTTTCTGTACCCCTCTCTTAATATGTAAAGGGGTGTATCGTAGAAACAACGCTGATTCTTGTGTCTTAGGTGAAAGTTATATCTTTTCTGTAGCACATGGTTCAAATTCAAGCTTCTGCCCAATAGCCTATATAAGATAAGATAGATCTACATCTTTATTGTCCAGATCCTGACACATTGGTTTGGTGTTTCACCACGTGTAAACACACACACACACACACACACACACACACACA